TTTAATAGGTACTTAAGATGTTGAATGAATGTTGAATGCTTCTGTTCTCTCTTTTACTATTTGCATAATAGTGAAATGTAATGTAAGCTTTATGAGGACGGGTAGCTTGTCTTATTCACTGTTGTTGCCAGTATGTAGAACCAAACTTGACCCTTATTAGGTGCTTAATAAATATGTTTTGAATGTTGAATGAATGGATTTAGTGACTTCCCTCTCCAATCCAGGCACCACGGTAAGGTCATGTTCGCCCTCTACCCTCTCACTATTACCTAAACTACTCTCCTGCCAGCACTTTGTACTTCTTTGCTCTGGAAAGCCCAAACTTTGTCTTTCAGTGCTGATCAACCTTCCTTCTATGTGGTTCTAGGTTCACCCCTCTCTCTTCCCTATCAGCATCTAACGAAATATTTTCCATTTCCTTATATTTAAATGGCTCCCATTACAGTTAGTCTATACCTTTGTCTTCCATTTCACCTGATGTGTTACAACTTTTTTGGTCTACCTGCTCCTTCACTGTAAGCTCCTGAAAAGTCTTATTAATTTTTACTGTTCCAAAACCAATAACAGTATCTCCTTATATTGTATATTATTATATTTTGTGCCTAATAAAAGTTTCTTTTATTAAGTCTTATTTTTATCCTCACAACAACTATGTGAGGCTTGCTGTGTATATGGATACTTTCCTCATTGTATAAATGAAGAAACTGAGGCTCAAAGTTATTAGATTTTTTCCCCCAAAGTCTCCTTCCCTGTAAGTGACAGAGCTAGGACATTTCATGGAAGCTTTTGTGTTACCCAGCATTATGTTACCACATTCTTCAAATCTTCTCACCACTTTCTCTCTAGAAATCAATGTTGCCTCATGTCGGAAATAAACATGAGGTTCTGAACTCTTTCCACGTTGTCCTTATTCTTGGAAGCTTGTTTGTATCTGGGCTCACACTTAGCTCATTCCTTCTAGCCTGACATGAAGAGATGGACCTTTGCCTGTTTGAGAACCATTTTCCCTTCACCAAGTTTTATAATGAAAATTTCAAACATACAGAAAGGTAGAAAAGTAAAATTCACACTCATATACCCATTGTCTATTTCTAATAACTGTTAGCATTTGCCATACATTTCACCTGAGATTATAGATTTCATGTTTCATACATATCTACTTCAGTTTACATCTCTCAGAAATTTTCCTACCAAACATTTTCCTACAAAACATAATACAATGATTATATTTAACAAAATGAACAGTAATTCCTTAATATTATGTAATTCTCAGTTCATATCCAAATTTTCCCAAGTATCTCCAAAAAATGTCTTTAAGAATTGATTTGTTCAAAACAGGGTCCAGTCAATGACATTTGGATATTGTGTCTCCTGAGAAGAGAACAGTTTTCTCCTCTTTTTAAATGACATTGACATGTTGGAAAGACTGTACTAGTTGTCCTATAGAATGCCTCACCTTCTGGACTATTTTTATTGCCTCCTTATGGCATCATTTAACTTGTTCTTCCATGCTTTGCATTTCTTATATGCTAAAAGTTAGGTCTAAAGGTTATAATACATTCATGTTAAATATTTTTGGTAAGAAAATTGCATAGAGGATGCTGTGTACTTCATGTCTCATCACATCTAGAAACATCACATCTCCATGGTATTCTGCTTTTTTATGATACAAAGTTTGATCACTTGGTTGAGGTACTGGTAGATTGGATCCCTCCATTGTAGAAGGATCTCTACCCCTTGCAACTCTGAGGCATCTTGGGGTATCATAGGATATCTTGTTTCATCTCATAGTTATAGCATCCACTGATGATCCCTTGACTCATGTTCTTGAAACAATTGTTTCCTTTATTCTTTAGGACGTTGCTCCATCTCAGCTTCCTTCCTGTATTTTCACCATCGTCTCTTTGACTGATTTACCTGTACACATGTGTAAGACTTCATTAAATAGTCCTCTCTTGACATGGCTTCTGCCTCTAGTAACCATCCTCTCTCTTTTTCCTTTTGCCCCAAGGTCATCAAAAGGATGGTCAATATGCTGTCTCCACTACTTCATCTCCAAGTTACTCTTTTTTCTTATTTATTTATTTTTATTGAGGTAACATTAGTTTATAACATCATATAAATTTTAGGTGTACATCATTATATTTCGATTTCTGTGTAGACTACATCATGTTCACCACCCAGAGACTAATTACAATCCATCACCACACACATGTGCCCTGTCACCCCTTTGGCCCTCCTCCCTCCCCCCTTCCCCTCTGGTAACCACCAATCCAGTCTCTGTATCTACGTGTTTGTTGTTGTCGTCGCTGTTGTCCAAATTGCTCTTAATGCCATGTATTCTTTATCTTTTCCTGGATGATTTTATCTACTCCCATGCTTCTGCTACATATGCTAGTGTCACAAAACGACGCCTCAAACTCTGAATTCTCTCCACATATTTCCTGGATAGCACTTCCAGAATGGGCAATCAAACAGAAACTTTCCCCCAAACTCTTGCCTCTTCTGGTTTGCCCCAGCTCAGTGAAGGGTGCTTCTTGGTCAATCAGCTTTTTCTTGCTGCTTCCGTACTTCACACCCCAAGCTTTGGAGACAACAGTGTTCTTTAAGCACATTGTGATCATTCCTGCTCTGCTTACTGTTCTTTCTGGCTGGAATGCCTTTCTTCTTGCTTCTAAACACTTGCTGAACTTTCAAAACTGGGCGGAAGCATCACCTCCTCTGTGAAGCTTTTCTGCAAAGGAGGAAATGATCATTCGCTCATATTGTGTCTGCTCTACTCTGCACACTCTGCTGTCAGAGCATGCAGAATATTTATTGCATATACGTTTTCTGCATTGCCTTCTTCCTTCTCTTTAAACACTCTGAAGGCAGGAGTTATGTCTTTGGTATTTATCTCTGGCTTTTATCAGTCACTGAGTAGCATTTAGTAAATGTTTATATTCGTGACCTGCTTGTTTTTCTTACAGCCAGTGATTAGTTTTGGAGGTGAAATGTGCTGTGGGGGTGGTGATGAGAGAAATCCTTGCATGTCATCTTCTCTTTCTCTATTGAGGAAGTTGACATTTTGTCCACATCAATAGAGTCTCTAAGAGAAGAGAAATGTTTTCTGCCCATCTCTTTCTTCTTCTTTGTGTTTTTTAGAAGGTGGATGAATGCTTAGTTAAGACAAAGTAAATAGTGGCAAAATTTTGCCTGTGTTTCAATGAAATATGAAAAAAAACTATGCCAGAAACATATTCTCCTTTAAAAGTTTTAATTTGTAAAGAGGTGATAGTTGTTAGATAATGGAAAGTATATGTCATTAACCCAAGCTCACTCCATGACATTTTTAAGAGCTAGAAAAATTTTAAATGCAAATACCTAAGAGTATCTTAGATTTTCTCCTTACATCAGACTTCTGTTTTCGCTAATTTAATAACTCAGCTTCACTTTTTCTTTCCCGCCTTATGGACTGCCATTCACTACTGCCACGAGTTATTCTGCTCTAGTTCTCCACTTGTCAATTCAATACTTATTCCCACTTATTACTACTGTAAGTCTCTTGTTAGCTAACTTTAGGATTGGTTTCTGTCTCTTTTGTGAAATATATGTAAGTTCTAAAATCTTACTTTCTGCTGTTATGTCTTTCATGTTGCCTGATCTCGATTTTTGTTTTGTTTTATATTAACTGCCTAGTTGTTGTTAGTGCCGTTGAGTCCATTCCATCTCCTAGCGACCCTGTGTACAGCAGAGCTGGTCTTTTTGTACCGTGCTTCATCTTCTGGTACTACATCAGACAATGCTCTGCTGCTATTCGTAAGCCTTTCATGACCAATATTTTTGGGAGTGGGTGGCCAGGTCCTTCTTCCTCGTCTTAGTCTGGAAGCTCCACTGAAACCTGCCCACCATGGGTGACCCTGCTGGTATTTGAAATACTGGTGGCATAGCTTTCAGCATCACAGCAATACGCAGCTGCCACAGTACGAGATGGGTGTTGTGGTTTCCTGACTGGGAAATGAACCTGGGCTGAGGGAGTGAGAGCGCCAGAACTCTCACCTCCCTGCCTAGACCTATGACTTCTTACCCTGTTTCCTCCCCAGATTATAGACCCGCTGACTACATCTACATAGTGCATCCACGTGACAACCATCTCCCTTGGGGTTCATCCAGAAACTGCCACAGCTGGCTTCATCCTCTTTGTTTTTTTTCTTTTGTTTGGTTTATCTTTTGGTCCTTAACTAGTTCCTTGAATTATACAGGAGAAGTATTAATTGCTTCCCAAGTGGGCCTGTCACAGAGCCCTAAGCCCTTTCCTCTTACTGTGTCCTCTTCTTATCACTTTTTGGGTCCAGAGAAGTCTTTCTTTCCTTCTTGTGACTTGTCTCTGATTGAAGAGATTAGGCAGATCTGCACTGGTCAGTCATTATGGCCACATTCTATCTTCTCAGGAAATCTCTTCTTTGGGAAGCATACATCTAACTCATCCCTTCCCTCTTCCTTCTCACTGTTGAGGCCTAATTACATTAAAATCATTTTACAGTTATGCTAATGCAATTATGCAACAGATCTTTGACTCAAGCCACTTTCTTAAAGCAACAAAACAAAATCTTTCCTCAATGGTGTCCTCAGAGGGGCCTTTGGCAATGAACATTTTCCTTGATAAAAAATTTTGAGATGAAAGGTGGCTTCTATTCTTGGAAATCAGAGCAACAAATACTATATTTCTATTATTGTGCCAGTAAAGACTTCTACAATTTCTCAGAATGTCTGATCCTTCTCATGAATCCTCACAAATAAGAAGAGAAGACAGAGTCCAATATGAAGAAGTAGGTCAGAATTCAATAGAAGAATCAAATGCCCATTTCTAATTAGGCTATTGCAGTAGTTTAGCTTGGACCAGCGTGGTAGCAGTAGTAGTCTGAGAATTGTTTGGATTTTGGATATATTTGGAAAGTAGATAAAAACATCCATGACACTGCGCTAATTGTTCCTTTTCTCTACATTTTCTCTCTTTTTAGTTTCGCTATTCAAATTGGCTTGATAGGTTGTATATGTTGCTGGGGACTACGGCTGCCATCATCCACGGAGCTGGACTCCCCCTCATGATGCTGGTTTTTGGAGAAATGACGGATAGCTTTGCTAATTTAGGAAATTTAGGAAACATGACTAGTCTAGGTAAGTATTGTTTGTGGTACTGATTTTATTGGAAGCTTGAGGGAAAGTCAGTCGCTGAGAGTGATGTTTGTGGAGCCCTTACTAAGTATGCAGTGGTGTGTTTAGTGGTGTGGGAGGTGGAGGGGTCTAAGCTACACTTCATATTTGTAAAGAGTTTGAGAAGATAGTATTCACAAGCATTAGAATGCACAATGGAAGTGCTGGCAGAGATATGTGAAAAAGAGAGAGCTCCAGGAAGAGGTCTAGGAACCTAATCTGGACCTTGAATGATAGGTAGGAATCAGTTATGAGATTCTCTGACATACTGGATATGGGTGTAAGAGACAGGAGTCCAGGATGATTCTAAAGTTTTAGCCTGAAAAACTGGATAAACTGGATGCAGTTACCATCAACTGAAATGAGGAAGGTGGAGGGAGAGTAGGTTTCAGCAGTAAACACCAGAAATTTAATTTTGGACACTGTCACAAGTTGGGCTCTTTGGAAACTGATGGAAAAATGGAGAAATGGAGCCTAGAGAAGTTGTGTGTGTGTGTGTGTGTGTGTGTGTGTGTGTGTATTGGCTAGTTCATACACAATAAAAAGTAGGAAGAGAGAGTATTTGAGTGCCAATGCCCAAAGGTAGATAGATGAGGAGGAGAGAATTTGTGGAAGTTTTCTTCTGATTACCTTAATTTTCTTAGTGAAGTAGGAAGCAAAACATTTGGCTGATAAAGAAAGGAGATCTCAAACAATCCTCCAGGAGAGTGGGAAAGTGAATGGACTGTTGAAATAATTTGGGTGACACACACACTCACTCACACTCTCACGCTTGATTGAGGAGGGACTGGTTGATAGCCCTGAGCTTCCAAGTCCTTTGGTCAAGCATAGATTGATTGAAACTAAACTAGCCAAAGACTTACAACCTGATGTGTGCTTAAGTGGTAGAAATGTTGAAAATGCCTGTTTGAGAATAGACTTGAGAATACAGTGATACCATGTAGCTTTTACAATGACCCTTCAACTTTTGGACCATTAAGTCTCTGATGAATGCTATGAATCCTTTCCCCAGAAACATGCACATAAATATTCGTACCAATTTGGGGTATTTATGGATCCTTTAATACATGTCCCTGGGTCCTGGGAACCCCTTCTTTGTGATTCTGAAGAGCACATTGTTTACCCTGAGGCAGGACTACTTCAATTTTGTGAATGCAGGTAATGAGCTGGGCCAGAAAATGTTATGGTATGTTTGAGCTATGTAAAATTCTTGTTCATTTATTACGCACCTCATGGCATTCAAAGAGACCTGCCAAAAGGTGTTGCACCACCTTTGAATTGGCACCTTGCTTTTATACCATTCACCAAAGGAAGTTCTCAGTGCTCTCTCTGAATTCTTTGGTTCCTATGCATGCTATAGTTGGCAAAAAGTAGATGAGTTACAGTGTCATCTCTACAATATATTATAAAAACAGCAAAGAGAAAAATAGATATACAGTACTTGATGCATTCTAGGTGCTTAAGAAACAGGATGAATAAATGAAAGACTGACTCACAGAATTTTGTAAGTGAAAAAGAGCCTAGAAATTATCTGGCCCTGGCCCATAATCTTATAGATGTAGAAACCAGTGCCCAGGAAGTTGAAGCAATGTGGCCACGATGGAATTAGTTGCTAGTTGACAGAGATGAGTTCCTGGGCCAGGAATCCTGCCTTTCAGTCTGGTATTTTTTCCACTCTACTAGTGGTTTCCAACTCTGCCTAAAATTATAGCAAACGCCAGCATTTTTCACTTGGTGTTTTCTCTCCCTGAGATGCCATCCTGTAGATTTGCTTATTGGTGTGTCAGGCAGGTGGGCCACAAGGCACAGCTCCCCAGGCCGGAGGTGTGAAAGCAGCACACATGAGGAGATCGTGGCTCCTGGAGTCATCTCTGTCACTGCAGTAAGCCCAGCCACACTGAGTGGCAGGCTCTAGCCTGGGCAAATGCAAGAGGGATTGATCATTGAGGCAGAGGTCCAAATTTCTCCTGCTCGTGGTTGATGGAGCTTCCTGCACAAGAAGACTGGAAAACTTGGAATCATAGTGTCCTTGAGCTAGAACGGACCTTGTGGATCAGTGAAGTCAGTGCTTTACTAACTCTTCTTTAATCAGAGAACCCCCACCCCCCACCCCCACCAGTGTAAATAACATCTGTCATGGAAGCTCATCAGGTAAAACAGCTCAAGGGGAGGCTTCCTTGGT